AGGAGGCAGCTGATGGATGTTTCTCTCTCATCGATGTTTCTAACTCTCTATCCCTCTCCCTTCTTCTCTGTAAAAAATCAATAAAATATATTAAAATATATATATATTTATTGATTTCAGAGATAAAAGGGGAGAGAGAAAGAGAGAGCAACATCAATGATGAGAGCCCAGCTGGTGTGGCTCAGTGGTTGAGCGTCAACCTATCAACCAGGAGGTCACGGTTCGTTTGATTCCTGGTCAGGGCACATGCGTGGGTTGCGGGCTCCATCCCCAGTGTAGGGGGCGTGCAGGAGGCAGCTGATCCATGATTCTCTCTCATCACTGATGTTTCTCCCTCTCTCCCTCTCCCTTCCTCTCTGAAATCAATAGCAATATATGTTTTTAAAAATGAGAAAGAATCATCGACCAGCTGCCTCCTGCACGCCCCACACTGGGGATCAAGCCCACAACCCGGCCACGTGCCCTTGACCGGGAATCGAACCCTGACCTCCTAGCTCAGTGGTCGGCAAACCGCGGCTCGAGAGCCACATGCGGCTCTTTGGCCCCTTGAGTGTGGCTCTTCCACAAAATATCACGTGCGGGCGATTGAAACTTCGTGGCCCATGCGCAGAAGTCGGTTTTCGGCCTGGACAAAACAAGTCTACAAGACGAGTGTGGATGGGAGAGGTGGAAGCGGTCGACCTCAGCGAACGTACCTCCATCAGATTGAGGACGTTTTTAGCAAAGGCCAGCTGAGGAGCACCCTCATTAAGTGAATAACAATGCACCTACCTATAGAGTTTAAGTTTAAAAATTTGGCTCTCAAAAGAAATTTCAGTCGTTGTACTGTTGACATTTGGCTCTGTTGACTCATGAGTTTGCCGACCACTGGCCTAGTTCATAGGTCGACGCTCAACCACGGAGCCACGCCGGCCGGACAACACTGTCGTTTCTTAAATGGATGGAACATTCCCCTGCTGTATCTGCAGCAAAAGCATAACTCTCATACCACAGCAGATGCTCAAGATAGCGGCTGCATGAACACAGGCCACACACACACACACACACACACACACACACACCCGCCCCGCCCTCGCAGCACGCACTCCCTCCCCACCAGGCCGCGGGCCGGAAGCGCTCATCTACCACGTGCCAGGCGCTGCCCCGAGAAGCAGCGATGCCGTGGTGAACCCAGACACATCTCTGCCCGCAGGGAGCCTGCGCTCCAGGGGGGCCACAGCGTCGGACGCTCGGACACCAGGACACAACCAGACCCAGTTCTGGGAGCAACCCCCGGCTGAGCCCCTGGCAGCTTTGGGGTTCCCAGGGTGCTTGGTAAGCTGCTATGTACAGGGTGACCCTGAAACCTGCCACCTCCCCGAAGAGGCCATCTCGGCCTCGTGCCCCTCAGAGGGCCTCGTGCGTCCACGGGCCTGGTGTGTGCAGCTTGAGGATGAGAGGGTCTGGGTTCGAGTCCAGTTGCAGCTCGATTCCCAGCCCTGGTCGGGGCGCACGCAGGAGGCGACCAGTCGATGTGTCTCTCTCACATCGACGTTTCTCTGTCTCTCCTGCTCCTTTTCACGATCTCTAAAAGTCTATGGAGCCAAAACCGGTTTGGCTCAGTGGATAGAGCGTCGGCCTGCGGACTGAAGGGTCCCGGGTTCGATTCCAGTCAAGGGCATGTACCTGGGTTTCGGGCACATCCCCAGTGGGGGGTGTGCAGGAGGCAGCTGATTGATGTTTCTCTCTCATCGATGTTGCTAACTCTCTATCTCTCTCCCTTCCTCTCTGTAAAAAATCAATAAAATATATTAAAAAAAATAAAAGTCTATGGAAAAATATCCTCAGGGGAGGATTAACCAAAAAGATAAAAATAAAAAAAATAATAAAAAGGCTCTGGCCGGTTTGGCTCAGTGGTTAGAGCGTTGGCCTGTGGACTGAAGGGTCCCGGGTTCGATTCTGGGCACGTACCTGGATTGCAGGCTGGATCCCCGGCCCTGGGGCGTATGTGGGAGGCAACCCATCAATATGTCTCTCTCTCTCACATCGATGTTTCTCTCTGACTCTCGCTCTTCTTTCCACTCTTTCTAAAAAAAAAATTCCTATATAATAAAGAGCTAATATGCTAATTAGACCGAACAGCCG